AGAGTCGAACTAACAGATCAATACAACAACCCGCCCAAAACCCCAAAATAACAAGCATCAAGCAATCACGCAGCAACAGCACGAAGCAATCAAAGACTCAGACTCGTGACGACCCTTAGACCTATATGAATGCACCATACGGAATTCCTCTCTTATTCCAAATCTCAAGGCCTCGCAAACCCGTCGTCCATTCCCGAGCAACCCGCGGAAATTGCAGCCACACAGGCACGCACTTTCCCAGTCCCACCAGCGGACTCATACACCGTTGTGTATGCACGGCCGAGGGAGCGACCCTAGTACCCTCCGTGCTTACATGGCTATCCCGTAACGCCTACGGTTAAGACAACCATGATCCATCCGGGAACGTCGGTTCGCCACTCAACACATCTCACCCCAGCATGCTTACTATGACCGAGAATGCATCTATTACTCATCAAGTAAACAAACAAGGGCAAGCGAATAACATGCAATCACGCAACTACAAGGAACCTAGCATGCAATACGAATCTGGGTTACGAAAACTCAAGCAGAGATGCATGCAACGGTAATCTATCAATGACTGAACGAGACAGCCAGCAGTGTGAAATTTCTCCTCGGTCGGTGACACGCAGTCGCCGCGACCTTTTCTGGCCATTTCCACATGTCAATGGCCGGCCCCACGTTCGGGAGAGTGAAAGCATGCACTACCATCCTACCCGCAAGTCTCAATTAGGAGGTTCACAGCCAACACGGCAACACTTAACAACATAATGAACATGCATGCATATAACCCATACTCAAGCTCAAGAGAAATCAACAAGGTAAACAAGCCCACGGGGATTCGACTCATCAATCCCCGTGACCCAACTCACAGTGTTCAAGCGGACGGAGAGGTGAAGTTAATGGTGACGATTTCTTCCTGGGACTCGGAAAACTTGTGGCTACGGGAATCAATTTAACTATGGATTCAACCCTTAAGGGTAAGCAAAAACCAAAGAGAATTGCTAAGGGTAACTAGACCTTACCGGAAACGACACGCGATTCTACTCGGGTAAGGGAGAAAAATCAAGATTTTACTAAGGATCGATTCCTAGAGAGAAAAGGGCAGAGTATGGGTAAGGAAATCAGAAAAATGGTCGATGGGTAAGGGGTTGGGTCTTATTTATAGAGAAAACTCGTTTTCTCTTGTTTTTGCCGCACTACCCGCATGCCCGACACGTGGCGGGTAACTTCTGTGCGCGCCCAAGTCCGAAAGACGCTATCCCTGGCGTGTGTCAGACTCACCCGCCGACCACAAACTCTACCCCTGGCGTGTCAGACACGACAGTCTGCACCACCCACGGCCCTTGCGTGTGTCAGTTGCGACCCATGGGTTTAGACGTTATCCGGGTCGTGTCAGACGCTACCCGCGCATGATGACACGTGGCACAGCATGACTGTTGTCCCAGCCCGTGCCCAGCGTGTCTTCACGCACTCTACCGCGTGTGTGAAAGTCTTTTCCCCCATCCAACGACATCGACCCGCGTCCCGCAACACTTACCCGCGGTCACACAAACCGTCCCGCGACACGAGCAAGCCAACCTGCGGTGAGATTTCTCATCCCAAGGTCGTTTTCTCTCGGCGCAACCTAGATTTTCCTCGGCAAAAATCTAACTTAGAGCTTTCTAAGTCTAGACCGATCTAATTTCCCCTAAAGCCGCCCACTTAGAAAACTCAAGACCTTTCGGCTGTCCTAGGCACTTAT